GAGTTTCAACTCCGGAATCATAAAAGCTATTGAGTTGAAATTTTAGGAAAATGCTCCCCCGCCTTGCAAATTTAATTTCAGCCTTTTCCCACGCCTGGGTACCAAGTGCGACCATGTAATAGTTTCGTCGAGAAAAACTATTATCTCTAGAACCGAGAAGGCTAGGAAGCTAAAAATTTAGAGTAATATTCCCTGCCCATGTGTGACACTGCAAATTTAATTTTAGCCTTCTCGCGCACCTGGGTATTACGCGTGATCCCCTGAAAATCTTGGCGGGAAAATTATTGTCTCGGAAACCATGGAAGTTAGGATAATGTCTCCTGCTCACATAGGATACAGCAAATCTAAAATCAGCCTTCACATTACCTCTGAGCGCTGTGTACGGCCGCGAAATTTTTGGTGGAAATTATTATCTTGGGAACCACAAAAACTAGGAAACTGAAACCATAAAAAAATATTCTGACCCCTTCTATGTATGATTCGCAAATTTAATTTCAACCTTCACGCTCAGCAGGCACCGTACGGTTCCATGAAACTTTTGACGAGGGAAATTATTATTTCGGGAGCCAGAAGATTTCAGGGGACGTTCTTTGGTTATGCATGGGCTTCGCAAGTTCATAGCTGCCGATTATGCGGGGAACTAACCTGCAACCACGTGAAAGTTTTGGCACGAAAGTCATCCGGAAGCCAGAAAACCATGAAGTTGAAGTTTTGGACAATATTCATCATCCAAGATTTTAAACTCAGCTTTCACGTCTGCCCACGTTTCACGTACTGGTGCTTGAAATCGCTGGTAGGAAATCTCGCAGTTTAGAAGCCACACAACATAACAAATATCTTTCCAAAAACCAAAGTGTAAAACAATGAAAATCTTAAGCAGGCAAACGTCCGTCCTATGGAACTGCCCAAAATGCATATGATCGCACCGGCTACCATGGTGCACGTCGCTATTTATTTCTCCTGAAGTCATATCGAATCAAGGTGTTATCTTGCCTTAATCCTAGTTCCTCTAGTTTTGCTAGCTTCAGCAGTCCAAAATTATGTTACAGGGAATAGGTGCCTAAGGTGATTATTGGCTCGGAATGCATTGGGATTCACTGCAGTGTAGTACTAAGTCATTTATATGGTTGTGTATTAACTTCCAAAATCTCAGCTTATCTGATCAAAGACTTGAAGGATTTAGGCAAACGGGCAGACCCGTACATATATAGGGGCAATTCAGTATTTGTTTCACTATAAATGCAAAGGATGCATTAAAAGAAGAATGGGAAAGTAGCGTTTCGCAGAGGGTAAGTACTCGGAATAGTGTTAAAGCGTATAGTGGTAAGCAGTATTCGTGAACTCTCAATTGAAACGGAGAGACAAGTTGGAAAGAAATGTAAGAAACATGAAAAAACAAGAACATCGAACAGCAGCGTTTCGATCCATTATGAATAACACATATCCCTTTTCAACGCTACAACTGGGTCTCACGAAGCAAAATGATAGTGACCCAGGCTGAAACGCACCAGGCTTGCCGATGTGACCATGTATTTTAGCGTTAAACATGAGGCAGTCAGATCCACAGTGTGTATAGTTGCCGCTTTACAGTTTAACACGCGGACTCATTTTGGCTACGTTACAGTTTAACACATTTTGGTTTTGCATATAATGGAACGTAGGCTGGAACGCACCAGGCGAGCCGGAGCGATCATGCGTTTCTGCACAAAACTTGAATTAG